AGCAGTGCTCCGTGGCCACGTGGCTGTGGCAGAGATGAGGGCGCCCGGCCTGAGCTGGTGCCAAAGCCTGGCTCTTCCTGAACCGGAAACCAGCCCAGGCGCCCGGCCCCCGCCCCGGAAGCCTGAGCGAGGTTGTGGTTGTGGCTGACCAGCCTGTCCACTGCCCATGGCGCTCGTTGGGCCTGCCCCCCCTTAAATTCTGTTAGAGGGGAAGCCACTCTGACTCGTCTGCCAGTCGATGGGGGGACCCAGGGCATCAGTGACCGTTTCTTCCCCTCTAGGAGAGACTGTGGCTGCATCTGGGGGACTGAAATGCACTGAACTGCATGGAGCCAGCCTGTCACCTGCAGCCTGTCACCTGCAGAGCACAGATGGGCCTCCTGGGTGCAGCTGCCCAGTTCGGCTGGTGAAAAGGTCCACTCATGGCCCAGGCCCATTTGCTGACCACAAGCCAAGGTGGAAAAAGGGGCCATCTGGTCCCAACAGAAAGAGCTACGACAGGAGCAGGTCCCAGTGACACGTTTTAATGCGCACCCTCAGCTTTCTTGCGGGTCACGGGCAGGGCGGTGATCCTGGCGCAGACCTGCAGCCGGCTCACCACACCACGTCTTCTGTGCTGTCCGCCAAGCACTGGGCAAGGTGGCTGTCGATGTCCAGCTGGGCCAGCCTGTGAGGAAGAGATGGTCACTCCCAGGGAGGGAAGCACTGCCGCACGGAAGGGCGCCAGCCAGAGCCTCCACCGCGCACTCGCCCTTCCCAAGGACGAAGAAACCCCGACGGTCTCCACGGCGGGTCAGAAGTGAGCCGAGGTCTGGGAGGAGGGGCCCACCAACCAGGAAAGGCCTCTCCACGTCCTGTTCTTGGGTCAGAGGCTCTGCATGCGCCCTGGACACGTGACATTGGGAGACGTGTGGGACACGCATTCTCAGGCTCCACGCCCGAGGCTGGGGGCACCCAGTCTGAATGAGCCCCAGGGGAGCTCCCCCAGCAGCCAGGCGGAGAGGCCACCTCAGGCCCACCCAGGGGCTGTGAGACTCCAGGAGTCCTGCAGGCCCCCGGAGACACCTGTGGCCATGGCCCGGGAGGCGGTTTGCTGGCAGCCCAGATGCCCTCTCCCTGCCTGCAAGGGCCTCCCAGACAAGTCGCCTCCAGGACCATAATGACCAACTGTCCGAGTTCACTGCCCAGAAAAGAGGCTCAACCCTGGAGCCAGAGAGCCGCTGCACTGAGCCTAGAACGGCGTCCTTTCCTTGTAACTCTCGGGCCAAGGGCCAAGGGCCACAGCCCCACCAGGACGNCACTGCCCAGAAAAGAGGCTCAACCCTGGAGCCAGAGAGCCGCTGCACTGAGCCTAGAACGGCGTCCTTTCCTTGTAACTCTCGGGCCAAGGGCCACAGCCCCACCAGGACAGACAGCCCGGGGCCCTCAGCAGACCTGGCCCCACAGCCAACTCCCTGCTGCTCCAAGGCCCGAGCCAGTCCTGGCGGCTGCCTCAGTATTTGCAGACCCCGGCCCGTGAGTTCTGAAGTCCCCGGGGCCACTCAGCCCATCCTCAGAACCAGCCGCACCACATGCTGTCACCAAGGCTGCCAGGAGAGTCTAAGGTCTGGACCTTGGGCACCCTGTCCAGAGGTTTCCGGGCTGGGGTCCCTCGGGGAGGGCAGCCCCTGGGCTTCCTTCAGGCCTCCCCCAGTGACAGAGCTTTGTCTCCGCTGGATCTGTCTTCAGCTTGTGTCAGGACAGCCCTGCCTCGCTCCCCCTCCCAGGCCCTCTCCATCATCATGACCCCCACCGCCGGGTCCTCGGCTGCGTGACACTCGGCCCACAAGCCGGGCAGTTTTGAGTTTAACTTCTTAGTAAAGTTGGACTCCGTCTCCCAACTTAAAATAAAGCATAACGATTTATACCGGCTTTTTAAAAAAGAAAAAACATCTGTAGACACAAAACAGGCTTCATTTTTAAAACCTCCAACCCACCGCTGGGGCGGTACTGGTGGGAAACCTCTCAGTGACCCACAGCCTTGGCGGTGGCCGCAGCCCACCAGGCCCGATGGCAGGGCCACCGCGTGGGATCCGGGAACAGGTGCTCCGACCTGCCATAGAGCCTGCGGGTTGGAGCCAGAATGCAGCCTGTGGGCAGGACCCTGGACCACTGGACCAGCAGGAGGACCCCCAAAACCTACATCCGGGTGCCCTCTGGCTAGTCCATAGTCACTGCCTTGGCCAACTTTCTGCGTGTAAAAAGTTACTTTGAAAGGCCAAAGTCGAGCTCGGGCACCTCTTAGCTTTCTGAAGATGGCTGGGGTCCCGGCTGGCAGCCGAGGGGAGAGGCCCAGGGCAGGTGCACTCACCCGGGGACGAAGTCGGCCTGGCACAGGGGGCAGCTCTGCAGAGTCTGTGCCGCGTCCGCCGCCGGCTGTGCCCGGGCACTGGGCACCTCGGGGGGNGGCACTGGGCACCTCGGGGGCCTGGGGCGCGGTGCATCCTTGCGGGGCCTGGGCACTGGGCACCTCGGGGGCCTGGGGCGCGGTGCATCCTTGCGGGGCCTGGGCACTGGGCACCTCGGGGGCCTGGGGCGCGGTGCATCCTTGCGGGGCCTGGGCACTGGGCACCTCGGGGGCCTGGGGCGCGGTGCATCCTTGCGGGGCCTGGGCACTGGGCACCTCGGGGGCCTGGGGCGCGGTGCATCCTTGCGGGGCCTGGGCACTGGGCACCTCGGGGGCCTGGGGCGCGGTGCATCCTTGCGGGGCCTGGG